GCTGGGGAGAGCGGGGGGGGCCTCGCCGAGAAGCCGGAGGCTCCCGGGGAAACCGGGGGTGGGGAGGGGTCGCGGTGCGGCCCAGTGCGGGCTCCGGGGGGGTTAAAGCAGAGAGCCCCGCTCCCCCGCCCCGCGCAGCGAGACGTTAAGCCCGTGCCGCGGGTTAGATAAGCGCGGCACAAAACCTATGAAATCTCGAAGCCTCACCGGTAACTCCCCGGGCCGTGCCCGCGATACGCACCCGGCAGCGATTCCACAGCTGGGCACACAGCGGGCACGGGGAAGCCCAGACATCAGCGCCGGGCAAAACCGGGCTACGCCCAATGATCAAAGTATGGTCAAAGAAAGCCTTTTACTCCAACAGCAACCAAAACCTGGAGGGGAAACTATTTTATAGAGTGAAATCGTTGTGCGAAGTCACCACGCACAGGTCGTTTTTGCTGACTGCACTTAACATGCAGATACTTCAGCCAGATTCTCCTGACAACACAGCCGTAATTAAAAAAGTCAACGCGTGTTAATGTAAAAAATACAATTTTCAAGGCTAAGGCAGAAAATCAAATCCTCGCCTTTCACCTTAATCAAATCATTAAGGCTGAAGCAACTGCTGGGCTCCTGAGCCAAGGTTCTGCCTCCTACTGCCGGGTCTGATCTCTGATTTTCACTCAAATCAGCAGAATCCGGTACCGCTACAGAAAATGCTCATTGGATCCCAGAACGAGAAAAGACAAAGTACTGTGCATCCTCCCCTGACAAAGCACTCCTCCAGCGCTTCGCAGCCCCCCCGAGCAGGACTGAAAGGTGGGATGCGAGAGCGTGGGAACGTCAACGCCTTCGTGACTTCATATTTAGAGTCTGGTAGCATCGGCGCGTCCGGGCGCTGACCCCCGCGTGCCCAGTCCCGTCAAGGACAGCTTCCTTCGGGATCCACGCTCAGCAGTGCTGCCCCTGCTCAAAGCAAGCAGTACTGCATCAGCTTTCTCAAATATTTTAGTTATTAATGTTAGTTAATATGCTGTAATAACATTTAAATCACTTTTCATAAAGCCAGCGATGCCACAGTGGCTGTGCTTGAAGGATCAATTCACCCTCCCCAGTCAAAACTGCTCCTGTCCAGAGAAGCCCCGAAGGCGCCTGTGGTCAGGCAGTGGGATTACGATCCCCGCCACCGAGGCAGCGGATAAAGATCACCCGGGAGGAAGCTCTGGGGCCGACGAGAGACAGCGCAGGAAGTCTGACGTGCCAGCGCTTAGCGAGTGGTGTGGTGACAAGAGTCTTCTGAAAAACTGTGATTCCTGACAGGCTTCTGTGCAGCATTCTGACATGGATAGCATGTGATTAGTAAGTACAGAGAGATTTAAGCATTAAGTATTTTGAAAAATTGTAATCAGAATTGCCCTTTGAAAAGAACAAAAACCTTAGAATTTTAATCACAACACCTTTAGAAATGCATCTGCACTTTTCAAATAATAAATGAAAGAAATTCAACACCTGCTTTTATTTCTTTACACAGGATGTTCCAATCACTTTACTGTAGCATAATATAATTTCCTCTGATGAAATGACTTCAGTAGCAAAAGCACCACAAAATGCTTCCCAGTTAAAGATAAGGTATAGGCCAGATCCACCAAAATGCAGCCTGAGAGGAGCAAAACTTGAAAATCTGGGCCAAATACACTGGTGACCTAAATGTAAAATATATGTCAGGCCCCCACTAAGGTCCTCACCTACTGCACAGCAGCACCAGCGCAACTCATCTGAAGAGCAGCTCCAGTTCTGATGGAAAAGAAAAGCAGCTTCTGTGAAAGGGAGGGGGATGAAGCCTGTTCCACTTTTAAGAGATGCCTCCGTAACCTTCAGTACTGCTAGGGGGAAATTCAGCCCGAGCTGTAAGTGCGTGTTCCAAAAGCCACTGCAGAGCTGTGCTTAAACCCGTACACTAAGGATGTGGCGTCATTCACGGCTCTGAGGCCATTCCTTACGGCAGAGCGCTAAATTAGCACTCATACTGCCCGGAAATCATGGGACAACCGACCCCATCAAACTCCGGAGGTGCTAAAAAAAGGTGTCTTAAAAGAAGCAGCAACAAATGTTAGACAGAAGGGGTAGTACTCGGCTGGGTCTGTAGTAGCAGTGGTGTGCAAACATATCACCTCACATCTCGCAGTGTGAACACACCATCTATAAATATGAACCAAGTCGCCCACGCGTAATGAGAAATGTCGAAGCTGTTTATCAGCATTTGCAACATGGTGCAGAACTTCGAGGCACTCGGAGAAGTAGCAATTGAACGTGGCAGAAACTGAAGGAGGAGTTCCGGGAAGAAAAGAATATCTAAGTGGGATTTTGGACAGAAGATTTCAGCTAAAAAGCCACATGGGAACTCTCATCACTCTGGGCAATTTTTACACCCAATAGTTAAAAATAAAAAAAGGAAGAAAGAAAAACAGCACTTCCAGTTCTAGGCTTACGCCTTGGTTCAGAAATGACTTCAAGAGGCCACCTAAGGATCCTTCAGCCCCATATCCTGCAACATCCAGGGCTCCTCGGCAGTCTCACAGCTAAATACTGAGCCGAGGCAACATTTTGCCAGGGCAGAACTCATCAAGCCAGAGGAAGAGAGCACCTGCTGAGAAGGGTGGCACGGCCAAGAACAGAACCGCTGGGGCCCAGCAGACGTGTGGGGCCGTTGTGGTTTATTGTCGGAGCGCGCAGCGGGACGGAGGGTGCTCGCAGAAGCAGCACCGTGCCATCGGCAGCGCCCAGTGCCTCCGGACTAGACTTCTGACCCAAAGCAAAGAGCGGTACCAGAGCCCTGGTAGGAATAAATTCCAGGCTCTTGCAGAGTTACAGCCCTTTAACCCAGCCACTCTTCTAAAAGGGGTGTATCGCTCCTAGGGTAGAGAGGACTTGACATCGCTCGGGTAGCTCTAGAAACTGAACTCCCGAGAACTGAGCTGGCAAGAAAAAGCATGATACTGAGCTAAAATAACACGTTATCCACTGCTCCAGCAGCACGAATTACATACAGCGAAAATCTCATCTGCTGAAATCCAGCAGTATATGTGAATAAGAAGCCCTAAGAAATCTTTCACTTTGAAGAAAAAGCATAAAGAAACACCAAATGGCAGAATCTCCCCCAGAAAAGGATCTGCTAGCAAAAGAGCGCGAGTGCCATAAAGTAGGTTTATTAACAAGTGCACAGTAAAACATTATACAGATTTGCCCTTGATCTTTTATTCATAACTCAAGTGCATAATGTATTTTCATGAAAAAAAAAAAAAAAGGCAAAGGGGAAGAAAAGCTTTCGCAGCCGCTCAGCATGTGAGCCTGGGCATGGTGCAAGGCAGACAATTCAAACAGAAGACATGCAACAACATTTTTTTTCCACCATGTAACATACAGAGTGTGGGTACAGCTTCTGCAAATAAAACTCTGTGCTCCTTCTGTCAAACACCAAAGCCGAAGCAAATCCATCGCACGAGGTTCTAGGTTTTCAAAAACTGACAGCAAGGGGGAATCATGTTCCACTGATTCAAATAACAATCACTGTACATCAGATAACATTTTGACCAAGAATTGATTTATCCAAGGCTGACAAATCCTTTAGAATTTCATGGACATTGTTCAGCAAAGTCCAAACAACACAGAAACAGTGCTGGGGGTCTGTGACACCTCGGGGGACTCAGCGTGCACAGAGACCTCGTGTGCGCTCACACCAGCATCCGAGGATTAACCTCAAACCAACCTGTTGTTTCCAGTCACCCTGCGGTGACTTCTCTCACACATTCTACCACAGCAAAGCCCACTTCAGCCGACTCCTTCCTCCCCTCCATCCTCCCTTCTTCCAACACTGCTAAAGTTGTTTGAATAATACCTGCTCAGCCTAGTTCAAATCATCCCGTTATTGTTTTTTAACGTTACAGCTAAAACAACAACCAACCCTCACCCGGTAGCATTACCATGTGTCAGCACTGTGTAATCCACCTACTAATTTTATGAGCACCTTTACTCTTCCCAGCTTGGAGCCATTTTGAGGCCTCGTGCAAAGCCAGATGCCCTGTCTGGATAACCCCAGCACAGCCAGAGCTGGGCCCTCCAGAACAGGACAGCGTTCGCTGGGGAGTGTTTGGTGCCTTGCCAGGCCGCACCCCAAGGCATGGGGCTGTTCTTGGGGTGCCCTTTCCAAGGGGAACTTGTCCTGCAAAGCTGAAGCAGACGATACCCTAGAGCAGGGTTGAGATGTCTAATGCAGGGAGAACTAATTAATGAAAGCTCAACCTAAGCTGTCCGTAAATTCTAATAATCTAAGCAAATCCAAATAGATTTCCAGCCAAAGAGCATTTCACCAGCAGATCACAATTACACAGCCCACTGCCTGGGATTTGGGTCTCATTTTACCGTCTAGTGAACTGCAACCAAGTCACACAGTCCAGTAAAGTGGCACTAAGTCACCAGCATCAGATGTAGCCCGCACACTCCACAGGTCTTCAATGAGCACTGGGGGCTTCTCAGCCTTCACTGATTTACCTCTACACTGGCAAGAAGCACCTTATACCGCAGTTACTGATCTCTGTATTATCCATGGCTGTAATTCCCCCACCGTTATTTCATTCAGTTCTACAAACATACATATTTTCTGGGAGGCTGTTCTCAGGAGATACCGTGTACACCGCACCACCAGATACGTTTTGCAAGAGAGGTTTGTGACAAGACTATAATTTAAGTACAGTAATCTCACTAGAAGAAGATTACATACATGAGAGTTTGTAACAGAATAACTGTAATCGTGTCCTGAGCCAAAGTGAATTTAAAGAAAAAGGAAAAGCATATACATACTTCAAACCAGGGACTCGCCCTTGCAGCAGCCTGCGTGCCCAAGTGGCAAGTGTTCGGTTCCAGCATGCCTGTACGAAGTTATGCTACATCAAGCGTGGGATTGC